GGCAGACAGAGAGAGGGAAGAAAAACAGACGCAGTTGCAGCTAGCAGACGCTTTGATAAATCACCGTCTAAACCAATACTCATACATGTATCTCGTCCTCAGCAGTTAACCCTAGGTGAAAGATAATTAAACGTCCTCCTACGGCGTCCCCCGGGGGCACGTTTGTGTGTTATTGAGAAAGGGTTCATAAAATATCCCTGAAAGTGAATTTATTTCAATAAACACCAATCCCTCTGCAAATGACCTCAGTGGTACGTTTCTTAACTGTATAGTTCTATGTAAAGCTCGTCTGTTCTAGTTCTAACTGGAGATAATTGATCGATTATAGGTGATTGATAAGGTGTGGAAAATTGTGTCTACTAGTAATCGGCTTCAGATAAAAAAATAGCCAGGACAGTCGGTTGAACAATTACGCGTACATGTGATAGCACTTCGATGCGCTTTGAAGACAAGGATGATCTCTAACTCATTGCATATACGATGACATTTGCACTAGTTATGGCGCAGTCATTTTCCTCGTGTTATTTTAAAGCTATTTTTGAGCCCAATACAGTACACGTAAGCCCTCAAGCTATTAACTTCATAGTCTATTCAATTCGCCCCGTTAAAAACGCACGCAAACCTTTCCGTCAGAACGGTTCACTGGCTTCGTGCTCAAAACGCTGTGACTAACCTAAGCAGAGGACCAACCCAAGCGTGCCTGACCTTACGAAAACGGGCTGGTTCCTAAACTTAATCTGGGGGCATAGCATACCGCCATAACTCAACTGTAATCAATCATACCAATACGAATAAGTGTTATTCTTATGACAGGGAGAATCAATTACACTCCCAGTGGAGGCCTAAGATAATATTTAGAATATATATTCAGCCCAGGGGCATGTGTCTTAACTACGGGTCGCTGATTACAGTATTAATCCGTTCTCACCCATTAACACCTGTTCACGGACCCATAAGCACGATAATCGTGGTCTCACTATACCAGAAAAACCCTCGTTGCCAATAAGAACGGGCAATTAATATATATAATACATAGTAGTAAGAGAGCCTTTAAATGTAAAAACATTCCCGTGCTCAATAAATTATTATTATTATTATTATTATTATTATTATTATTATTATTAATAAAGTTGAAGAGAATTATAGATATTTTTGGTTGAGGTAAGGTACTTTACATTACCCAAGTTCAAGTTAGAATGCACTGAGCAGAAATCTGAATCTAATTATGCTTAATAGGAACACATTCAGAACAGGGGACTAACAGATCTGTTAATCAAATATGGCCGACCCGCTTGAAAGCGGAGAATCTATTCAGTGTCTAATCGAAAAATAAGCGGCAAGTTTTTAAGTGTGTCGCCATATTTGATCCGCTGGTCTGTTAGTCCGCTGCTCTTAATGCGCTCTAGGATTAGCCCCATCAAAATTACTCAAAGACTGCTTATTTTTCTGGGACAAATTTCGATTAAGTATTCTGAAACTTGACGTAGAAATTGCATTTTAAATGATCCCTATGCCACTAGGGAACCTATTTAATAATAATATTGCCAGTACAGTACAATCCAATTGTCACAATTCCCCC